ATTAAATTATAAAACATTCAGAATTAAAACATTATCTTTTTTTAATATTATCATGTGATATTTTTATTTGAAAAAAATGAATTTTTTTAAAAAAAATGACAAAAACAATTCTAGAAAATAAATTAGATTCTTTTTCGTTATTAATAATTTGAATTTCGCGAAATGTCGAGGTTGAGAATGCTTTTTTAAAACATGTAACAAGGCGTTGTATCCATTATTACATGTCCATTTTCTCGTGTATATAATTGATAATTGGTGTTAGAAGAAAGTAAGTTTTCGAACCATTTGGATTTACTCATTTTACTTCTATATATAATCATATATATAAAAGAGTTCCTTAGTATAACCACCCATTTTTTTTATATAAAACTTCAAATAAAATTTCTTTAACGGCAAGTAGACGCATTTAACACAAATTCATTTTATTTCAGTTTGTCTTATTTTAACAAAAATTTATAATACAAAATGAGCATTCGTAACCTCAAGGCCAGAATTCGCAACTTTTGCGTCTTCAACTTATTTTTTGGAATAATACTATTAATCACCTTCCTTATATTCAAAGTTATACGATGGGTCTTGAATATAAAAATCTAAAAAACAATTTTCGAACAGGTTGCGCAGTTTTCGATAAACTTTTACTTATACACTTTTACAAAAACGAGATTTTGCCGAAAATTTCGTATGATCACGTGATTTGATTAACCCTACCCTTAAATGAAACTTTAAAATTTTTTTTATTATTTCTATTAAATTTATTATATTGATTGCTTTTTTCTTTTAAATTTAAATAAATAACGATAAAATTACATACAAATCATTCTTTGTCCGATATTTTTTTAAATATTTTTATTAATTACAAGGATTGATTATTGAGATTATTGACAAATAAAGCAAAGTCTAAAACGATTAGCTAACGCTAATATTAAGAATTGGCAAGTTTTCTCATTTCCGTTTTTTAAAGTCCTTTTTTGAATATTTATTATATCTTGCGATCTAACAAATGATCCTTTTCTTTAGACTTTGTGTTTTCGAAACTTTCAATTATAATATGAAGTACTAGTCACTGCACATTGTTAAAATCACTAATTAGGGATTATTTTATTTAATAAATTGAATAAAAATATAATTACCACATCTATAATTTCGTTACCTCATAAAATCAAGTCTTCTATTTGGTTCTTTTTATATAACAGAAGAAAGAATACGAGATTATGACAAAAGCGAAAAAAAAAAAATTACTTGTCCTTATTGCTTGTTCCGCAGCTTTATTTTCGGGATCTCCTAACCTGACAAATTATTAATAGACATTATTATTACAAATTTGTTCCTCTTAAACAAAAATCAAAATGAAGAAAAAAGTCGAAACTTAGTTTTTAATTCATCAAAAACTTTTCACAATTTCATTAATATCTATCTTGATCAGGTACAATACGTATACTAACATTAGTTTTGCTTTACATGGTATCACTGTGGTCCACCAACATCAATCTTATGTATTGTTAAAGATGTATATCTCCATTTTGACATTAATGATTGCCCGGTTTAAACTACAATTTCTCTCTTCCTAGAATTATTTAATTTCAAAAAATAACTTTTAAAAAAAGGACTCTTATAATAAATTTAAAAAGGCACTTGAAATATTACCTAGATTTTGATTTCGCAAATAAATTCATATAGTCGCTCTTCATATGGCGTAACGGGCCTCACACTATCATAAAATCCTAAATCAAACAATTATTAAACACATGTTTAGTTATAACGACGAATTTTTAAATTTAATCTACTGGAATCAAGATACGATTATCGTCTGACATAAGTTTTGCAAGTATCTGAATCATATCATTTAAAGTTTCAGATACTGCTCCTCCTTGCATACCAGAATGTAAATCCGTTTTTCACTAAAAATCTATTAAAGAAAATAATTAGAATTTATTTTTTATTTTGCATAGAGAGATAGATTTGATACGTTAAAAGTAACAAGTTACCATAAATGTCACAGATTTGACCTAATCCAATCTTCCGGATAAACTGTATCCACAATGGACGATATAATGGGATCATCTTTTACTGTATATCCAACATCGCAATCAATATTTGTTTGAAGTTTTGCTTGCATATTAAAGGCGATTCTTGCGTCTTGATCAATTGCCATCTTTGGAAACCTTTTTTGTATTTAGAGTAATTTTACTCTTTATAAAAGACACTGATTTATTATTTTGTGTAGGAAGTATTGATTCCTAATTTTTTTTTCGTGAAAGATTAGGGTTATAATATGTACCTTTACCTTAATGTGATAATTAAAAAATAGCCATGAAAAATTACAAAGCCTACCTGAGATTCGCTTAACTTTTGAAAATAAGCGTCCACAGAAATTGATTTATCACTTCTTTTGCCGTAGCCCAATTTTCCTTACAATTACAAAAGAAATAACGCGTGCACATCGAGTACTCATAAAATGACAAAAGGGTATCAAATTCCATTTGTGCTAAAATAATTATGGGCTTTCCGGTGAAAAATTTTATCCGACTGTGTTACAAAACCTCCATTTCTTTGAGGATATGAGTTCGTATATATAATTAATCTACCTATTAATATTTTAGGAAATGATCGACACAGAAATTATAAAATTTAACGCGATCCAATTTTTTGTTTCGCGATTTTCAAAGTATATAGATAATATTCTATCTAACATACATACTAATCGAAATTCAAAATAATAGATCTTCAACAGTCGGACATGAAAGGCACATACTTATTTCTAGTTGAATTGATATTTGATAATCTTTGTCATTTTATGAGTAACCGGTGTATTCCTTTTGTAAGGATTTTTATAATGAAGCAAAAAGGTAATTTTTTTTTATTTTTAACTATTCTTATGATAATAATGATAAAAATATTCGAAAGATGCAGTTTACATATGTAGCAGTGTAAAGAGTACTCTCATAATATAATAACCCTTCTATTAAAATTTTCTATGGTTGAGGTGCATTGTAATAACCCTTATACGGTTGAGATACTTTCTTATAACCCTTCTATGGTATAATAATCCTTCTATGGCAGAGGTGCATTGTATAAGAATGTAACTCCTGTTTGGCGATAGAAGATTAATTGTAAAGTTGCATTCTCCGGCTTGGTGATAATAAATTAAACTATAAGATGCACTCTCATGTTTGACAGTACAAGACTTGGTTGTGAAGATGCATTCTCCTGTTTGGCGGTAGAAGATTTTAATTATAAAGATGCTTTTCTCCTTTTTAGCGTTATAAGACAATATTGTAGACGCATTTTCATGAAATCAGTCATTAAATATGAATCATCAATATATGACAATAAAAAATCTTTAAAAAGGGAATAAACAAATATTAATTGAAATCTTTTTTTTCTTTTTTTTAAGAAAAAATATAATTAGGTAATACGAAAAAAAAAGTATTTCAACAAAATTCTTCAATAACTGCTTTCAATAATTCAAACTTTGCCACGTTATATATGTCGCGACTTTAATGTCTAAAAGAACATAAACGAAAGCATGACGCGCTGGTGTTGCAAAGGAACATCTTAATATAATAATTATGAAGAAAATCTAAAGATAATAACAGTGATGTAGAAATTTTTAAGGGTAAAAGTCGAATGGGGATTCAAACTTATTCACTTATTAAAAGAAATTGTAGAGGAGGTATTAGTCGAAAAATGCCAATTTTTCAATCGTCGAAACTACTTTTCATGCAATTGAAGTTTAGCACAATTTGACAACTTCAGCAAATCCTACCTACTCTTTCTTATCATGCTTCAACAGCAACGCGACGAATTCCACTCCATATACCTTCAATAATGGTCTGACCTTCACCCTCCTGAATCGCCACAACTTAACACTTTATAATCTTGATAATTCTATTATTTATCTTCTCGAAGATACTGACCTCTAGCTTTGAATGAAGCAGCTTTAGTAATATTTTAATTGAAAACATTTTAGTTGATGTTGAAATTCTCAGGGAACTTTCCGATGCGTTGTAGATTTTGCGTAAAATTGAAGAGATAAAGACTAATGGAAGGGAAGTTTCTAGAGATTAAAGTTCCAGTTCCAATAATAATTATCACAAAAAAAGATCTACCCACATTTTCTCCCGAAAATTTCTTTACCGCTACCATCTCTTAAACGAACTTTACGAGTTACAGATGATGTTTAATGAAGATCATGTTAAGTATTTAAAAAGTTGATTAAGTTGACGAAAAGCTGAAGTAGAATCTGATAGTAGTTTTCAAGGATGGAAGTCAAATAGTGACGATGGAATTTGTGTGGATTATCGAGACACAAGTATCATCCTTTATTGTATGAGCAAACTTAAATATTGATAAATATACAATTAGAGATAATTAATTGAAGATATAGTATATCCAGAAGATTGATCTTAAAAGTTGTTTAAGCTTAGTAAAATATTAGAAGTTTATTTAATATTAGAAGATTTAATATTAATTATTTTATTATATATAACTTGTAGATATTTTTAATATTCATATAAAATATTCATTAAATAAATGAAATATATATGCATTAAATATGTATTTTATAATTATTAAATGAATTATGTTTATATATTTTTATGATATAACTATAAATTATAATTTCTTATATTATATATTAATATAAATTAATCAATTGCATCTAATCATTACTTATAAATATTATAATTGATTTGTTCTAAATTTTCTTCACTGCTATCATTTTTATTTGAACTTAAAAGATTTCTAATTTCTTTAAGAATTTTTTTGTTTAGAATATTTCAATTATAAATGGATTTATTAAATTTTCATAATAAGTGTTTATTATTAAATTAGCCTTTTTATTTGTTTATCTTTTTACAAATGAAAAAAGGCAAGGATATATTCTCAAACACATATCATTTAATTGATTATTAACTTACATTAAGTCTAGAAACTGATACAAAGAAAAAAAATTCTCAATTTGGTTAAATTCTTTGCTTTTTAAAGTATATATAACTAATGAAACAAGTTTTCTACACAATTTAAGTAAATAAATTCATTGGATTAAGAATGAAATTTTTACTAATAAGATTCATATAAAAGGATTTATCTATCTTAACTAATAAACTGAGCTCTCTTAAATACTAATATATTTCTAAGTTAAAAAAATTTTATTAATGAAAAGTTATAAATAATCTTCGGATTGTTGAATCATAATAAGTTAAAACTGATTTAGAGAAATTGAATCATACTTAATAAGATCTAAAGATTATTATGTTAGCTTAATCTATAATTTCATTAAAATTACATATGGGCTGATTAGACTCCATTTGATTTTGTTATCCAGGTGATCAGAATTATATTTATTTATATAAGAACAAATTTTAAAAGTAATTGCAAATCTATAATACAATAAAATAAAACATGTGATAAGATTGATCTCATAATAAAAAAAAAATTTTGATTAATAAAGTGATTTTGTATTTTTATGTCTTTGAAATCTATATTCAAAATTAGTTTTAAATCAATTTTTTGAATCAGTAGCAAATTAGTAATAAATTACTAAGCCTGTTTAAAGTGTTTTATACTATTTTAGTCAACTTTTTTTTTACATGAAAGTTAATTCCACCTTTTTTTTCTTTCAGCATTATGTCAAATGAAAGTTAAAGTCACAATTATGGTATTATTTTATTGTGAATATTGCTATATTTCTTAAGTACTACCATTAATTTCTTCTAAAAATAGTTTACTATATAATAGTGATACCTGATGAAATTACCTTTCTTAATATAACAAAATTGATGAAACTGAAATGACAAAACTAGTTTTTTATTAATGATGAAATTATTTTATTTAATTGCTGAAATTATATTTAATTTGATCTAAATTCCTTAAATTAAAATACATTAAAAAATATAATAATTTTATATTGATTTATATAAAAATATTAAAGAGATGAAACTTTTGACGAAACTACAATTTTTTAAAAAAGAGTTTAGGCAGGTATTACTACTATATAACTATTTAATAAGAATCTTCAATTAAGATTATCTAAGCTTTCCTCATATTGTAGCAACATACAAATCAAGTATTATAACATTTATTTCACAGCATAATATAATATCTTTGGAATACTATTCTAAAAATTTTATAATGATACAAAAAAATTCTAAAGATAGAAATCAGTATTGGATACCAAATGATTATTCATTGAAACTGAATTTGTAAATAGAAAGCTTTATTTAGTAATTAAATATACTTTAAATCAAAAAGCAAGGTATATTATTTTTTAAAAAAAAATCATATTGAATTGAGAATTTATAATGAAAAATTTCAACTGGTACTATTATTGTATTTTGAAAGGTATGTATAAGTTAGTTTTTTTTTTTAAAAAAAAAGAATTGGCATTAAATAATTTAAATCTGTTATTTAAAAAATAAATCAGACTGAATCACGATCATCAGGTTTTTGTATTTTTGGATTAGATATAAAAGATTATATCAATGTAAATTAGAAGCTTTTACCACATTTACAACTTCTAAAAAACATTATCTTTTTATAATACAAATCAAATTTGAACAAAATAAATGGTTTGCAGCTTTTGGTAGAGATTCCAGAAAAGTACTTTATCACTAATCAAAAAAATTATATAATTACAGAAACAGGTTAAACAATAGTTTATATATGTAATATTGAATTAGATTTAAATGATAAAACTGTCAATATGTCTTATCAATATAATATTGAACCTAAGAAATTGGATGCTATTGTATAAGCATGTGATGAATCTTTATTGGCAAAAGATGGTTACCGTCAGTTATCTGCAGTTGAATCTTATCTTATTCATGATATCATATTGAAAAACATAGAATTAAAATTACAAATACTATGAATGACAAAATTAAAATAGAAATATTTGTATTAATAATAGTATTGAAGATTTTGATGTATCTGAACAATATAAAGAAATATTAGTTGAAGAAACTGAAATTGGCAATGATATATATAAATCAATTCAAACTTCACTAAAAGTATTAATTTCAATTAGAAAAAATAATTCTCTTAATCAGGGAAATACAGTTAATCTTAAAATTGGTGGTGACAGTCGAAATGTAAGTCATAAACAAAAGCATGTAATGATAACATTTTGCTTATTAAATAAAAAAAAGAAGT